TATAAGAAGACAGTTTTAATAATTAAGGATTAGTTTTTAAACTCCTCATTCAGTATCCAATTACAATTTTAAGCGGATGTTCTTTCTTTTTTTAAATGGGAGCAGCAGATGAGCAAGGCTGTTTCCTTGCCCCACGTGTAAGTTGATATGTAAATCCTGCCCATCCTATACAACAGCTTTTGACTCTAAAGTGAGCAGTTGATGCTTGGGAAGATTTAAAGCTCAGCTGCACAGATGGACCATTAGAGATTTAAGTGATCGATACTGAGTGCCTCTCCATAGTGTCCTCCAGATCTCCTGTCTGTTATTCCTGTAGTAGCTGTAGTCGTCTTCCACTCCCCGTGGCTTTCACGGTGCTCCATCTCTCTGGCCCACAGGCACACACCTGGTGTTTCTGGTGGCTGGGAAAGGCTTACATCTGAACTGGGTGGCTCATCAGAAGGGTCTAACTTGCCGTCAGCCTCTGCGTCTCAGCTGCTGGGCAATTCAAATGGTGTATGCTGCTGTACAGCTGCCAATAGGCAAAGCGAACGGTGGGTCAGCAGCTGTGCAAGCCTGCTTCAAAACAGTCATTTCTGTAGCTCGGGGTTAGCACATTCACATGTGAGAAGAAGCCAGTACCTTCTGGTGATGACCATACCGTGTTTACTGCATTTGGCACATTGCATGGTTCAGTTGGGTTCAGCATTGTCCCCGTGGTAGTCCAGTTATTGCTGTTAGTTTGCCATGGTAGGTGATAGGTAGGTCTAGTCCATGGAGCCATGTCATCTTCATGGTGCTTTCCATCCAAAGTTGGACAGTAAGGATGTGTGGGTCTCAATGGAAATTTTTGAAACTTGGCAGTGGTAAAGTCTGCATAATCCTGCTTGCAATCAGGAGGTCTGTTAATGTGTGTAAAGATCACCATCTCCTTGCACTCCTGTCCTCTCCGTAATACACCCAGCCTCCCGTGGTGCTGCTTGGGTGGTGGATGCCCACACGACTGTGTGAACCATGGTGGTCCGTTGCAGCTCTATGCCGCTGCTTACTGCCCATGCGCATGGCTGGTAGGTCGTGCAGATGCTGGAGCCAGCTGGGGGCAGGACGGCGTTGCGGCAAGCTGGAGTGCTTCCCAGGGACTCTCTCCCCAGCACCTCGCCAGCTCCCCCCTCCAGTGTGGTCCTGCATAGTGCCATCAGCCTAGACATAAAAAGTTATTTTCCAGCCGCTCAGTACCTGCTGGCCGAGTTATTCCCATATTGTTTGTAGAAGGGAGTTAGAATTAAAGGACTGGTCTTGTTGGTGGGTTGACCTGAACTATACAGAAGCAGTTCAGGCTCCTTTTAAGTATTTGAGAGCTTTGCAAGCAGAAGAGGTGTTTTCTGACTTGGTCAGGAGTTTTTTTATACGTTTGAGGGGACAGAAATCTGAATTTCACAGACTGCGGTAACCAAAAGGAAAAAGAGACCTACTCGTCCCTAGTCTGTTTTTTAAACATGTTTTCCTCCTTGAGGCACTGTTATTGAGCGAGGCAGGTCAGGCAGGAAGACAGGGTGGGTTTGGGTCTATAGGAAGAGCAAGGTTGCTCGGAGGAGCCTTTGATCCTTCTCCCACCCATGACTCACCTCTCCCCGTTGCGGCTGCTGGGGGCACGCACACCTTCTGCGGGAGTGAACTGGGTTCAGGTTTGACCTGAAGGTTAAAACATATATTTTTCCAAGGAGAGGTATCACTGTTCTCACTTTCATGTGCAGCAATCCGAAGTCATCACAACTAAAAATTAAATTAATGTATGTCTCATGGATTTCTTTTTCCTCAGTTACTTTTGTATTCTGCACTAGCTTTGGATTAACGGGATGTCCCCATGCTGTGGGGTTGCTCTGCATGTTCCTTTCCATCAAAGAACATCTTTAGTAAGGGCACAGTAAGACTTTCGAATAGCTGCTCTAATTCAGGGTTATCAGAAAATTTAGCATTGACACAAGACAGAGATGTGGCAAGAGGCAGCAGTGTTTTGTTTTGTTTTTTATTTACAAAACACTACTACTGCAGAGTGCTTCCCACGGTGAATTACTGAGTTTGAATGGTCCAGAGCGAGTGTTGCCAGGGTCGTCCAAAGTCAGCTCCACGAGGGGCTCGGTCCCCGCGGGGTGCTTGGCCTCTTGCCATCTTTCCACCAGGTACCAGTCTGCAGCACTGTCTCACAAATAGTCATTTTTAACTGACTGGGAAAGTGTGAGCATGCCTCCCTCTATAATGTGGTCTTCTAATGTGGTTTCTTCTGTAGATCAGGTGATTGATGGCTGTCTTGCAAGATTTATGGCTATGTTTTCATAGTCTGTCTGAGAAAACATTAATATAAATGTAAAACATTGTATTTGGTCATGATATTGTTAGTATTTTTTCTTTCATTTTGGTTATTGCGTGTTAGCTGTTTGCAAAATACAGTTCATTTGTGAGATCTCAATACGAGGTCATTTCCGGGTAAACAAGAGTAATATTGTCTACACAAAGTATATTGTTCTGTTGGTGGCAGTGCAGCATGTGAATGCGTGAGCAGCATGAAATCTGAAATTTTGGGAAAGCTCAAAAAGAGCACTTGGTGTGTCCAAGCCCCTCTCTTTTCTTCCTCATTCCTAGCACGTGTCTCTTGGAGGGTTTTTATCACCCGCCTATGGGAACTGCCTTGTTTCTTGGGCAGGAATAACGAAAAGGCAGGCACCCCTGGGAGGTGGAGGAGACCGACTGTCCCAACCACCGTGGCTGCCCAGGTCCTCAGTCGTTGTTTTCACCTCAAAATTAGCCCGTTGGCTGTTTGCCACCTACTCACACCTCAGCTTTATCCTCTGTACCAGCAGCCACAGTGTTCAGCTGACCACATGGTGGTGGTTGTAGTGTCACCGTTTGGGCACTCGGCGACGGTGGTAGCTTTGGAGGTCTCCCAGCCACGTGGGCATTTTAACGCACGGGTCAGGCAGGAAGCTGAGCTGCTGTCCACAGAAGGGTACGGGATGAGGAATAGCTGCCCTAAAGCAGTAAAGAAAGGAAGGAATTTGTGGCTGTCAGTTCCTAACTGCTAGCATTTGGGAAAAAAGCCTCAACCCACAAAATCCAGGCAGGTTCAGCGTGATGCCCGAAGCAAGACTCCAGGGCTCAGAGAGTGAAGCAGGAGCCTGGGGCCCACGCCGAGGCAACAGCGCTGGGGAAATGGCATCTATTGGGGAAAATATTTATTTTACGAAAGCGTAAGAATGTTAAAAAGTAAAGAAAGGAGAGATATGACTGCAGCGGGCCAAAATCGCGGCTTATATAAACAAGCATCACTCTATTGACGTTAGGAGCACGTCGTTTTACGCCGGCTCGGGATCTGTCCCCGGCAGCATGGCTCTGCCGTGGGTACGGCGCGCGGGCCGACGGGCATGCTCGCGGGGAGATATAACGCCTCCAAACGTGGTGTTTACGTTGGAAATACTTGACAGAAGCTTAAATAAGCAGTGCTACCAGGTGGGCTTTTAAGAAAGAAGATATTTATAAAGAGTGTAGTGGCCATGTCTGAGCTTAGCTACTTCATGCGTTGGTGTGACTTTGTGTTTCCAGTTTTTTCATGGTCTTTTTAGGAAATAAAATAGTTAGTAACCGATCAAATAAAAACAGAACATAGCCTCGCACTGGCACAATTTTATCAGTGAAATTGCTTTCTAGTTGAAAGATGACTAGGAACAAGCTAAAAGGATGCCCGGGAAATAAAAAATATGTACTTCAAGATATTATGGTTTTATCTGGGCTCCTGCTGACGCTCGGCTTCCCAGCTCCGCGTTCGCCCTCCGTGCCCGCTCTCTCCAAGGGCAGGTGCAGCTTTCCCAGGGGACGGGACGTAGGTGGGACACTGCGTGTCCCGAGTCAGGTGAACGTGGTGGCAACCACGTGGCAGCACAGCCCCCTTCTGTGCGCTTCCCCCATCACTCCAACCTCTGCCTAGATCGGCTATATACCTATATTCGTTCCTGGCCATTGGATCTGAGGGCTCTGAATTGAAAAGCAGTCCTTCTGAGATGTCCCAAGAGCCTCATAATGAGCATGGGAGTCACCTGCTAGGAGGTGACAGTACCTGCCGCCACCACCAGTGGGTAACTCCAGGTGTACACTGCTGACTAGGACTTTGCAAAGGCGCTCGGGGAGCCCAGCAAGCGGCTCGGCATGGATGCGGCCACTGCTGCCTCGACCCGTAGGGAAGCAGCAGTTACGCATGCGAGTTCTTCACATGGATATTTAGTTAAAACATCTGTGGTCAGATACGAGGAGATGTTTTAACACAACCTATAGCTAGGGCTGGACCTGCGCTGCCTGTGCCCTTTACCACGCGCCTCTGTACTACTGGCTGTTGGCATTGACTGAATGGCTAACAAAAAAGGTGAAAAAAGAAATGAAGGCTACGGCCACCCTCCACCTTCTTTACAGGGAAATGAGGAAATGCTACTGATGTACAGATCAGCCTTTCAAGCCTATATTTACTTGAGTCGTACAGGGATTGTTTGTACAAGGAGCCCTGTTAACTCCAGTGCATAAACCGTGTCTATTCTTGTGCGCATGGGTTTGCAGGATTAAAATCGCTTGTAAATGCTAATGGGTAACATGTTCGCTAACCCCGTAGCGTTTGTGTTTTTCTTAGACTGTTAGCTGTAACACTGCAGAGTCGTTCTACCTCTATAAAAATCGGGGAGGGATTTTAAGATGGGTCAAATGCATCTAAGAGATCGGTGGCTTAATTAACACAAGGCCTCACAGTGACAGCAGTGGAAAACAAATTCCAGCGCTGGCCCTGTGCCTCTTTCCACTTCTGGTTCTGTTACCCATATGTTTAAGCCTGCCAACACAGAGCATCTAGTATGTTTTAATAACCGATGTTATTCGAATCATTTTATTACCGTGACAGCAACTTTAAAAATACCTCTTCGTCTCCCAGTGATATAGAAACAATATGTTAACAGCATATTTTTTTTCTCTCTTTCCTTTGCAGGAGCAAATTCATCAGTTGTTGCTGATTTCATGCCTACATCCTCATGGAACATCTCAAGCGAATTGGATAAAGGTAAATGGTCAGAGAAAAATTGGAAGATGTGAAACCACATTTTCAGATCTCAATTCTTATTCTCCACTTGGCCAAATCAGCAAGCAAACGGGCGAGGGGGCGTTTGAGATAAACCTTGTTTGCCTTGTGATCCTTTGACGTCTAATTACATGCGGTTCTGTGATTTCTGGAGACTGCTGTGTTCATTTCTTGTTCCTGTGAAACGTTCCACATGGCAAAAATGTTGCAAGATGTGAATTCTGTTGGTTTACGAACTGCTTGCCATTTTGTCTGGTGGATCTTAGGACCTGAACTCAAAACCAACAAGCATCAGGCAGAGTCAGTTTGCCTCGCTGTGCTTTATTAAGGCTCTAACTTAATAGAAAGGAAAAATACTTCAGACATTTCTAAGTGGTAATTATGTGTGATTTCAAACTCTGTGGAGGGTATACATTGTGAAAAAAGGGATATATTCCTTATTCCCCTTAATTTTCTAAATTATGCACCACCAATTATTTAAACCAAATTGCTTAGCTTCCTTTAGCCTTTATTCCAAGCCAGTGGCCTGCAGCTTTCTGAGTCAATCTGGCCTTTGAAATGCTTCTAGCGTAACGTTTGCTGAGGAGGTTGCTGTTAGCCACACTAACTGTTCAATTTGTCAAACGCTCTCTTTTCATTTGCATATAACTTTGCCAGCCATTAACTATTTAGTCTGAAATGTCTCGTGGTGCAGTTCTTCCCAGATGGTTTTTCCAAATGTTTTTGTCTGTATTTTGATAATGTTTTTTTTACGAACATATGTTCATAATGTTTTATATTTAAGCATGAATATGTTTTCTGTGCTTCGGTATGGCGAGACTACAGAGTTTGGGGCACTTTAAAATGTGGTGAACTCTTGCTTTGAGTGCAAGAACGCATCAGTGTTCTGGACAGCATTTATCGCTGGGAACGGTTTTCCCTGCAGTTTTACTCCTGCTAAAATTCGACCGAGCCCTCGCCGCAGTTGAGGCAGGCTCAGGTAGAAACTGGTTGAAATCGGAGATCAAATGTGGTCCGCGGCGCTGTTTGCACCGAGCGCTGTGTGCCGGGAAGGCTGCCGGGGCAGAGGGAGCGCCCTGCGTGCCTGGGCCGCACGGGGACCGAGCTGGGCTCTCCTCTGGTCCCGGACCGGTTGCTGAGGACAGAGTCAAACTCAAAGTGCTCCAGAGCTGCTTGGGACCCAGGGGCAGTGGCTCCCTCAAGCCAGATGCTGTTTGTTTGTTTGTTTGTTTGTTTTCTTAATTGCTCCAAAACAAGAGGAAAATAAGTGGCTAAGAGAAAGAAAGTTAAGGCTACAAAGACAAGCCCTCAGAAGTTAGGAAATGCCGGAGACGGCAATCCAGATGGTCTTAATTCAGGCCTCTTATGCTGTGCTGTAGCAGCCCAACCGTTGCTAACCTGCAGGGTAGGTTTTTCTCTAGGCACCCATCAAAGGAAGGCCCTTGCTCGCAGGGGGGATCAGGGCTGCGTTTTGTCCTGAGAGACACTCTCGTCTGTAGGATCTCCCCGAGGTTTCTTATGGACGATGTCCTCGGCGAGACAAGGGCCTCGGCAAGAACAACCAGTGTCTGGATGGGCTGGTTTCTGCTTCTGACTCCTCTGCAGAAGTCTGGGCAAGTGGCTGAAATATTTTTTGCAGATGATTGTCAGTAATATATTCTTCCTTCCTTGTTGTGAGCCTCAAGGGTTGGACCGGATCGTTTCCCATAGATTGCAGGAAACCTAAGTAGAGGGGAGAGATCAGAAGTGATATCGAAGATAAGGCAATTTTACAGGAAATTAAATCTAGTCTGTGCTGAAAAATATCCCCCAGTGTCTTCCTTGTTATTGATACTATTGCGGGGTTTTGTGTTGGCTGATTTCATATGACCAGACCCATTTTTCATCCAAACTTTGATTAGGCTTGACCTCAGCGCGAGGTTCAAATGCTGCTTTTTTCAGCAGCACATGCCCCACGCGGGTGCTCTCCAAAACCTTCGCTTAACGTACATGTCTAGGAAACGGAGAAGGGTGCCTGGTAACAGCACAGACTGTGTGCTTCCTTCCAAGCTCTCTCCCCACCGGGTTAGAGCAGACACGGGTCAGCCCTGCCGCTCTGGCTGCCCGCGCGCCCTTTCGGTTGGCGCGCAGTGTTTCGAGGGCTAGCGGTGCCCTCCTGGGCCCTGAATCACCTCCTTGCTCCGAGTGCAGCTTAGCCCTTCTGTGCCGGCGCTGACGTGGCTTCTGGGTTCGTGACAAACGTTTTCCATGCTGTTCGTTCCATGGCCCCTGCCGCTGAGCTGTGTTGTCAGAAGCAGGTAAGGTGATGCTCCGAGGCCACCCGGCATGCAACCGTTAGCGTTTGCTGGGGCTCAGCGCTGCGTTCCAAGGAGATTACCGGCCCCTCGGCCTCTGCTCATTAGCATTTAGACTGCTGCAGGCTTACACACCTAAGCACGGATTTACATATGTGATTAAAAGACATTTGCTTCCCAAAAAGCTTAGTCAGAGGGGTGGATTCCTCCCGCGTGCCCACAAGCGACGCAGGCGCACGTTTCGTCTTGCCTAAGAACCGAGTGAGGGCTTTCATGTGGGAGCTGCCACTTCTCTCCGAAGGTGTTGGGAAAGTCTAGCTTATATAAACTAAAATGCACGGCAGCGCACGCTGGCTTGTGGAGGTGAGACCTCGGAGGAGAAAATTAGGCGTGTGCTCAGTTTCCATTTCTTTTGCAAACAAGCATGTTAAGAAATCGCCATCCACTTGTCTTTCCTGCAGCCAGCCATGAGGTCCCGCAGCCGTCCCCGTAAAACTTATTTTAAAGCCTATTAAGTTCACCACATGAAAGTGGTTTCCAGCCAAATTTCCCAATTAAATGGCAGTCCATATTAAGTGGCTCTGCCTGCTGTCTTCTGAAAATTCACATCTCTTCCTTGAATATGTCTCCGGCGTTCGGGACAGAGGAACAGGCTCATATAGTCTTGTTAAACAGTATTGTGCATTTTGAAATAATTACTTAATATGCTATTTTCCCTAGCTTGGTAGATTCTGCGGTGATTATCTTACAACTGAGCCCTATTCAGGTTTCAGTTTCTATTAAATAAGCTAAATCGACAGCATTAAACAGTTGCCTGTTTATTCTTTTTAACAGGAAATGAATTTAAAAGAAACGCAGCCACCCGTGAAGAGCTGTTGAAAGCAACGATTGATGGGAGGGAGGAGGTGGTTTCTCACCAAAACCTTTAAAAAAACAAACAAACTATACAAAAAAATAAAAATGGTCACTTTTAAAATAGGCAAAGTTGAGGTACGAGCAATTTTCTCTTTTTCTCCGACTGTGTCGGTCGTGGTGTGCAACGGGAGAACGTTGCGAGGGCAAATGAGACATGAAAGGGTGATCAAAGACATTTTTAATTGCATAAGGGGAAATATGTGTACGTGGGGGAACCAAGGCGGGCTGGTTGTAGGCAACTGCGGGGATGGCTAGCTGGCGACGAAGGCTTTCGCCCCAGGTTGCTAGTGCCACTCCACCGCAGTTTGGGGGGCTCCCATCTCCCCCTCATCCGGGGGACAGGGCCTGCTCCAGCTCTTTGCTTGGGAAAGGCTCTAAGTTACAGGGAACCCTTCTCTTTCCTGAGCGTTACTAAAGGGTGAAGAGCCTTCGTTCAGCTGCTTCTCTTGCACGAGGCTGGACGTGGAAAGGTAGG